AGGGCATGACTTAGTCTCCATATATTGGTAAACATAGAAAGTACTGCCATTGGAATTGTTTTGTTTTTAGTTAATCGTACAACAAATTTTGTTCTACATGAACTTGATTTGAACAACTTTATAGTGCCAAGGGATAGGCTTAGGTAGACAATTTCTACGGGATGTAGGCCTCTCAAAAGGTAACGGAGGCGTGAATTAAATTTATTTCTTATTAGTCAAGTTCACAAGAATAAAATTTAGTTTTTATGGTTCCAAAGAAGTGTTAAATAAATTCAATTCTTACTAATTGCTTTTGAAGAGAGATCAAATTAATGTATGTGATACAACAATTAATACTTCACATGCGACTATAAATGTAACACGGCCAACAACAATCTGGGATAATTTTAGTGTTTTATTTTTTTTATTTTTTTTTTATTGAATTAGCGTTTAGAGGGTTAGATACAAGCTCCTTTTAAAACTTCAATCTAGGATATGACTCGTCATTGTATCGAAGTTGACAAATTTATAATGATGCTACATTTTCTTGATTTCGAAGAGACAGAGATCTAAAAAGAGGCTGGGAGAGGGTTGAATATGTTTTCAGGTTTTTGAATCCGGCGTAAAATTAGTGAAGCGATCATTTCCTCATTGTTATGAGTCCGAAAATGAAATGAACATTGAAAAGCTAGCAACACGCCAAAAAGAAACTTTTTTGAATAGCTACACGCTGAAAGGAATACGGACAAGCATTGAACCGTAAAGCGATTCAATTGATGAGGGAGAAAAACGGTTCGATTGATGAGGGAGAAAGACGTATTCATCTTTATTGTCAAAACAGGTCAACAAAGGCATACATTGCCACCGGGGGTGACGAAAGCGCATCTTACTGCATGGAGGATGGCAAGATAACTCTACTTGTGGTGGGTTGAAAAAATCATCATGTTTATGGTTGAGGAAGGCAAAATTTATTTTTCAGTTCGCTCGATTTTCTTCTACAAGATCCGGCTTATATGATTAGTTTGCTATTATTTTTCCCATGAATTTTTCAAGTAGATTACAGCAGTTACGAGACAATGGATGAGACCACAAAAAATGTTTTGGGGGTGAATTTGTCAGTTTTAATGTTTCTTACGAGTCTAAGGATTAACATGTAATTTTTAATTAGGCCTGCGTTAGGACTTTGAATAAGAGCAACAAACAATGTTCGATCTTTGAGGGGTTGGTTTTTTGCAGAGTTAAATAATAGAGCTATGGTGTTATATATACCAGTTTTTTGGTCCTTTTCTTGTTTGTTCATTTGAATATATAGGTCTTGCTCCCTTTCTTCGTTCGTTCCCACGTACAATCCATATCTCCTCGTGGGCCACATCGAGCTGGTGCACCATATCATCATGGTTCACGAATGATTAACTTATTGTCTCTCAACTAGTAAGATCACATATTCTATCGAAGCCATCATCTCTATTGTGCCAATGTTGCGTTACATGAAGGCTCCAACACCTTGAGGCTTCATAGTCATAAAATTTTCCATAATTACGATTAATTGGGGCCCAAACTTAGTTTGACACAAGTGAGGAGATTTTTCTCATACATCTTAGTCCCGGACTAGCTTGCATGTTTAGAATTGTAGTTCAATCTCTAAGGTACTTGAATACCGTATAAACCCAAAATTATTGCGTATCTAAGTAAATATGGGGCTTTTCTTCTCATATAAATACACAACCTTGAGGAAGTGATGGCAAAAACTTTGTTGCTCACCGTAGAAGTTCATCATGTAAAAAGATACCATAGGAAAGCATGAGAAAATGGATTTGGTTAAGTGGGAGAATTGAAGTCAAGCGACCACAAACGACAGCATAGAGCAACAGAATACAATATTAACTCAATTTTGAGCTCAAGCTTTCCACTACTTAAATGTATAGAGCACCTAAACTACATTGATAAGAAATACACCCAAACTCTGCATAAAATTAAGATTATATGCCTCAAGAATTATAAAGAATATTCTTACTTTTTTGCATGATCCCCAAGTAGACGTACTCTCATTATAATGGCTTCAGGTGGAACTTAAATTAAATAAATAAATAAATAAATTAAAGAAGCTTGATGTTTACGGGATTCTGCTATTCCCTGAACGTTTCCGTCGTCTACACATAAAGCACATGAATTGGATTTCAGAAATTCAGTTATCTTCTATTCAAGGAATTGATCCGGGGTTCTACAAAATTTAGAATCATTCTTCAAATTCTTTTGAAGTTAGAAGACCCATACATTGGACTTGTCCTTTGGGAGCTTGATTTCAAATTCGACATCAGATTTGAACTTGATTTTTGAAAACTAATTCCTTGGGAGTGGTGGAAATCGCCATTAATTCTTTGCGCTTTTCATGCATACGATCCCTCATGAATTTCTTATCACAATATAACTCTGCAAATAACTTTCGCGCCTTGCAATCTGGATCATAGATGGGGCACCTATGACCAATTCTTCAAAAGAATGGGACATGTTTGCCTAAAGATTGTAAAGTAATTCCCAGTGCGTACAATAGTCACACATGTAGATGGAGGATGCCTCGCCGACGTATAGTTTGCATTTGAGAACTAAATTTCTCTAGTTCAATATAATCTACAGTAACTTCATCCTTGCAAGGTTTTGTCCTGGCTTGTTTTTTGAAAAGGCTAACCATTGTAAACTCGTGCTCAAATTGAACCCATATGTCAATCGATCCAAGACAAACCAGGATATGTGTCGTTAAAACATTGTGCCTTTAAGTGTGAAAAAAAAAAAAAAATACTTTACCACAAATAATGTCATAGTAGGAGCCAACATTGTTATGTGTTTCCCATAACAACATATTGCTTTGAGTTTTCTTTTTTCCTAAACATTGAAATGTCAAAAGTTGGTAGTCTTTATCTTGCAGTGATAACCGAAATGCACTACGTACCCCCTTAAGAGATTGCCTTTTTTCACCATTGGACTTTGTTGTTAGAAAACCCTCGTACCCCTTAAGTACCCTTTGTTGAACTAATATAGGTCGCACCTTTACTGGACTAAAATTGAAACTATTTTTCTTTATTGAACTCTATTTCATATTTTATGCTATTATAACAGACTACAAGAAAACTAATCGAGTCCGTATGATTACACTTTAGGTTAAACCTAAAAGAGACAGGGAACACAAATTTACGTGGTTCAGTGGTCAATCTACATTCACCCAGGGGCGGATTTGGGGGTCCATGCCAGCCCCAGCCCAACTTCCTTTATAAAATATATTGTGAAAAAAAATTGCGGAGTTTTTATTTATTAAATTATTTTTACATATTAGCCTAGCTTAAAGGATTTTCTAGTCAAGTTCGCCCCTACACAAAGCCAAGAAGAACATTTCACTAATAACCAAAATGGGAGAATACAAGTGCTGATACCCCATACTCTGAACACCCAAAACATGCATCAAGAAAGATTAAGAAAAGCTCAGTCTCACTAAAAGAAAGCTCTCTCTAAGCCTATGTTTGGCTAATGTTTATAAGATTACTTATAATCGATACTATCACCTTTTATCCACACATTTTATAGTATCCACAAGTACTATCTAATTATCCAATTACTTATTTCGAAAAATTTAAAAATTAAACTGTTTGTAATTCAAATTTAGATGGGAACATAAACTCAAGAGCTCCTTCTCTAGGAGCACACAGTGAGAGCTAATTAATCTCTATTGGATGTGGGACAAGAAAGTATGCTATTACATGTAGGAAGAAAAATTTCTCAAAGCCACTAGGAGAGAAGAAAACTCAAATATTTTTCTTTTTAAAATTGATCAAAGCCACAGTTAACACTATGTATATGTATATATGTACAAGCAGATTTGTTGGAAGATGGTGCATACTCAATCATATTTTGTAGGAAGTGCCCATAAGAAAATTAAAAGCAAAGGAAAAAGATGTATGTTAGGTCAAAAATTGAAGATGCATATCATCTCAAGAAACTTGAGAAACTTTATCTTCCTCAATTTCCAGTAATAGGCCTTTGAATAAATTGGTTACCAGGATCAAGTGCTAACTTTCCTAGGATGTGAGATTTGCAAGAAAAGAGTAGTAATGACTGTGTTCAAATCAGTTTGCATCAGAATATCCAATTATGGACAAATATATGTATGCACACCCTAATTAATTTAGATCCCAAAGCTCTATAAACACAGAATGAGGAGAAACTGATTATAATGTCTATCTTAACTTTTTGATTCGTAACAAAATTAAAGAAATTATACATTTAAGCACGTTGTGCAGTGGCTAGTGTTATTGAATACAATGTACAAAAGTTCTATTTCTTTTTCTCAAATTTTTGTGAATTTACTAAACTCGCGTGTTTCACAAATGTGTTGATCTGAATGAAATTAACTTACAATACCCAGTACTAAGAAAACTACAATTGAAGGGAAAAAAAAAAGTAGAGAAATAAATAATGAACTGATTTTCATGTTCAAACTTAACAATACATGCATGCGGACCTAATTAAGAAATTATTGGCTTAATTTTAAGTTTTCCATACACTTTCTATGACTTTATATTTTATCTTAATGATTTATTGGGACAGGTTTAAAAGAATTTAAATTAAGAGAGAGATGATAGCACATTCTCAAGACTGGTAGCCCTAATGTATAATTAGATAGAGAATTATTTGAGTAAAATTTGAAAATTCTTCTAATTAAGATTCTATAGAACTGTTCATTCAAAAAAAAAAGGGATTACCGAAATTAATGCCATAAAAAATGTATGAAGTTTTACTTTTGCATATGTATCTTTAATTTCATGCTCTTGCACATGAGAACAAGAGAAGAAAGAGAGAGAATCAGTAAACAAACTTGTATTCTTCTTTTCTTATATATTTCAAACCAAAGTTAAAAAAGGAAAATATTCCAAATTCGTGTTCGAATACGAAGTAATTAAGGCTTTCTGCAAACTCAAGCGGATATCTGTACACTGTAAAACTGGATTTATTACCGATAAATGAATACTTGATCATGGATCGTTCCCGTGGCCAAGACGAAGCTCCAAATCTACTTCATTTTCCTTCGCGTTTACCTTTTCGTTCTGTCCGTCATTACTAGGTGGGGAACCGATCCTCAGACTGAGATTTGCATCCTTATGATCGTCGAAAAATATAATATTTTCCCGTGGCAAATTGTTCTGATGAAAATCATGAGCAGACGAAGTAGGGTTTGACGATGGCAAGTAGACTTGATAGTTCCTCACAGCCGTAAAATAATTACTATTTGTTTGATGATGATGATCACTGGATGGAACTGGAGGGAAAAATCTTGAATCTAAGAAATCTTCATTCGTATATTTATTCTGAATTGAAGATCCCTCCTGTTTTTTGTGCTTCGCTTTGGCTTTATCTTTCCTGTGTATATTCATGTGTCCTCCTAAAGCTTGCGCGTTCGTGAAGCCGCGCTTACAGAAATTGCACTCGTATGATCTTCCAACACCCGTGTTGTCATCTTCGTTGATTTTCTCCTTCTCATGATCACTTTCTTGGCCTGAATTTGTGTCGGAACTCGTATGCTTTTCGGGCTCCATCTTAAACAAATTTTGCTTCCAGAAAGTCTCCCTAGGAAGTTGACAATTACAAGAGCAAAGTACTCTACTGTGGAAATTATTATATGACGTTTGAAGAGAAAGGGATGGACAACAATCAGCCGTATATTGTCTATATTTTATTTGAATTTTGTGATTTGTTTCCTCAAGCCGGCTTTAGTATAAACGAGCTGTTTCTCGACAGATTTCGATTTTGATTTTGATTTTCTTTTTTTTAATTCTCCTTTTTGGGTTATGTTTTCAATACCTTTATTCCCCTTTCTTTAAGGCTCAAACGAAATGTCTATAGGGCATGACTTAGTCTCCATATATTGGTAAACATAGAAAGTACTGCCATTGGAATTGTTTTGTTTTTAGTTAATCGTACAACAAATTTTGTTCTACATGAACTTGATTTGAACAACTTTATAGTGCCAAGGGATAGGCTTAGGTAGACAATTTCTACGGGATGTAGGCCTCTCAAAAGGTAACGGAGGCGTGAATTAAATTTATTTCTTATTAGTCAAGTTCACAAGAATAAAATTTAGTTTTTATGGTTCCAAAGAAGTGTTAAATAAATTCAATTCTTACTAATTGCTTTTGAAGAGAGATCAAATTAATGTATGTGATACAACAATTAATACTTCACATGCGACTATAAATGTAACACGGCCAACAACAATCTGGGATAATTTTAGTGTTTTATTTTTTTTATTTTTTTTTTATTGAATTAGCGTTTAGAGGGTTAGATACAATTTTTATTAGACTCGAGGCAAGGGTGTTGGTTTTCTAGCTTATTTTGAATTGAACAAAAACACTATTGAGATCTTTTCGTTGGAATCAATATTTGTTGACCTCAAATTCTCAAATATTCGTAGAATCTAGAAATTTTCACATGTTTAGCGTAATGTACCATTCAGTAGAATTGCTTATCGCATTGTCATTACATATTATTATTTTGTGCTTGAATAACAAGATAGGAAATAAATAAATTACTCGTATCTTCTATGCAACACAATTTCCCCCGTGCTTAATCTCATATTCTACTTATTATCTGTATCTAGAACATATACATCAAGAAATAAAATTATTCAAGAATAGTAAATTATTCCAGAAAATATTTTAAAAAAATGAAACGAAGTATTTCACATAAAACATGTCTTCATGTGTGTAAGGTTGTTTAGCTGGTTCCCTTCAGACAGAACAGATGGCCGAGGTTACGCGTTAATGGAGGCTGCTAACTTTACTTAATTAGGATGATATCAGTACAAGAAGACGGCCATTGACACAGATTACAACATGCATTTGAAACTGTAACGGACAAATTGAAGTATAACATCAATGAAAATAACACAAGTGGCCTTTGTAGATTACTGTTTCCACTGGGTACAGTTCATTCCCAGTTGGATATGAACATGATCATGAACATTCTATTTGAAGAAATCTGCGTCGTTGTTATCGATGTTTAGCGTACAACTTTATTAATTAATTCATCTCAGTTTGAATGGTCAAACACTTTGATTTGAGGATACAATAACAAAATAAGAACATGTATGAATTTACACGAGGTTGAAAAGACGGATTAATCTATTTTGAAAAAAGAAAAATAAATGCCCATTTCCAAGTGACTTTTGTAAAAAATAAAAAATAAAAAATAAATTATTTTCAATAACTTAGTCACAAAATAACCACAAATCATTGAACTATCGCTCAAGCTAATGGAAAGCATTACGTAATAGCAAGCATTCAAGCAGCCATGAATTCAAGGACTACAAAACGGGAAAAAGTCAAATTAAAAGCCTCAACACACGTTTCCATTATTGTCTTTGTGATAGAGAATTTAACCTAACATTATTGAATTACAAGAACACATAATTGAATTAATAAACTTCACCCGAAATAGAGAAGAATAGAGAAAATTATTGATTCGTCTTGAATCTTCAACTGTCACTTGAACAATCTAAAAAAAAGAAATAGTTTGAAGTTTCT